GGAAGGGGGCGATAGGGTGTTCTTTCAATTGAGGGGGTCAAGGAAGGCCTCTCTGAGGACGTGAGCTGAGCCGAGACCTGAATAGGAAGAGGGACCAGCTGTGGGAAGATCTGGCCTGGGAGCATTGCCGGGAGAAAAACCAGTAGGTGCAGAGGCCCAAGGGGGATCAAGCTTGGCTTCACTGAGGACCATGAGGAAGGCTCAGAAGGCTGGGAGAGGTGCAGGGACCTGTAGCCTTCTGGAAATATTCCAGGCTTGCAGATGGATTGAATGTAAAGCTGCTGTTCTAGAAGCTTCCTCAAATTAGAGCTGCTTTCCTTCCCTGTGCCAGGCCTCATTTGGGATCTTCTCAAATAAGCCAGGAGGCGTGATTGGAGGCCAAGAGAGGTAGAGGCACCAAAGGCTACTTGACTTTCTATCCAGAGCAGCCTTAGCCCACAATGAGGTCTAATCCTTGTGGGATCAGCCCCTTTCTGGTGGCAGTGGGGAGGGCTGCAGGAAACGCTGTTCTTTGATCTGAGTCTGGTTCCGTGGGCAGGTCACTCCTTGTTCCTGTGGCAATGGTTACAGTAAGCGGCACCAATCTTGGACGGAGATTTCCAACAAACCCTTAGAAGCATCCCATGTTTCTTTCGTGTCATCAGAGGGTGACGTGCTTAATAGTTACAGTTTGTCCATATCATCTTTTTTTCCCGGGAGAAAGAAAAATATCATGATTTATGTAATCATTGCTAGGGAGCCTCAGACCTATAAAGAGGTCAAGGGTCTCCAAAGACTCCTAGAGCTTGGGCTCAAGGGAGGGTGGCATGGTGTCCTTTACTGAAACCGGGGCAGCGAGGTGGGGGGAGATCTGCTCTAGGCATGGAAAGTTCTAGAGGCCTGATCAGTGCACAGATTGAGGAGTGGGCTGAGGTAAGGGGCCAGATATAGACTCCAGATCCAAGCTGGAAAGATGAGGGGCATCGGGTACAGGTGACCTTTGACCCCAGGAAGTAGATGACCCCACTAGGAGGAGAGTATGTTTAGAAAGGAGGCCCTGGGGCACCCTGACATTTGGAGGTCAGGCGGAGGCCAAGGGCCCAGCAAAGGAGGCTGAGGAGGCCTGGCCAGTGAATCTGTGTGTGCTTGTCCAGGCCAAGAAGAGCAGGTATTCAGGAGGCAGGAAGGGCCCCTGTTAGGCAGTGGCCAAGTCAGGTGAGGATGGGAAAGCCACTGGGGTTGGAAGCGAGGAAGTGACGGTGTGGAGGCTCACTGGATGGGTGAGGGGGTTGGTAGCTCAAGATGTGGCTGTGATACCAGGAAGCCAAGACCTGCCCTCCCTCGGAGGAAACATGCAGCTTTCCGAAGCTTCCTCTTCCATTCTCTCACAAGAGGCATGGAGAGGCTGGACAACTAGGATGCCTATTTGCCATATGTGGAAACTGAGGCTTGAGAGGGTAAAGAACTCACTGCACAGTGCCCTGCACAGTGAGCTGCAGAGTCAGGGTGGTGAACAGAGGCCGGGACAAGGGGCAGGGCTGGGAGCAGAACATTTACCCATGGTGTCACTGCGACTAGAACTTGACAGGCTGGAGCCAGGCGGGATCCTGAGGCCGGAGGTCCCTGAGACCCTGCCCCTCTCCTCTAGGCAGTCACTCGCCACAACAGAAATGACGCCTGGCCTGACCCGTGCTTGGCAGGGCCTGGACACCCCAGGCCAGCTGTGCCCCCTACCAGAGCACAAGCAGGAGGAATCCTAAAATACAGCAGTGGCTCCAGGCTCATGCCAGGCACGAGGCCTGTGCTGAGGGTTCTCCAAGAATATTGCATGGACGATTATTGCCCCCACTTTGTGGATGGCTTTGAGAACACAGAGACAAAAGGCAAGACCGTGGCATAGCTTGAGGGGGCCTCACACGCCAGGTCCTTCTTACACCTGGGTCCTTCTCTGCCTCTCTCTTGTCGAGTGATGGTCACCCCCTGTGCCTCAGTTTCCTCATCTGTAAAAAGGGGACAATGCTAACACCTACCCCGTAAGGTCATTAGGGGGACTAGATGAGAGAATGTGTGTCTCATGCTCATTACAGTGCTTGGAACAGAGCGATCATTCAATAAATGGTACCTGTTATCATATTATCAATTATTATTATTATTACTGCTGTTGTAAATTCATCTCTCTCTCCAGCTAAATTTATTAATTTATTTTGTTCCTTATGCAATCCATATTTTTATAATTTTCGCCAGTACATGTGAGGGTGCTCATCCTTCTTGCCTCCAGGGTAATGAGGCCTGGACCCCCTTTCCAACCCCAGCCCATCAGCATATCTTCCCCATGTCTTGGGGGAAGAGGCTGTGACTCCAGAATGGGGGCCATGAGTGCAGAGGCTGAAATACTAACAGTAATGGTGATAAGCTCGAACATTTACTGAGGGCTTACCCTGTACCAGGGACTCCAGCTGGGAGTGCCAGTCTGTGAGTGGCCTGGCAGGTGGCTGTGGGCATGACTGCCGCCTCCTGCTGGGGTCCTGCTCTGTGCCAGCTTCTCAGACCTTCTTAGGCTGGCTGGGCCCTGGGTCACGGATACCTGCCAAGTGTGAGGGCTGGGAGGGCAGAGCTCCCAGCAGATCTGGCACCTTGAGCTGTGTACTTTGCCTCAGGCCTCCCCAGAGAGAGCCCAGTGGGCCCTGGGTAGTGGCCCCCTCCAGCATCTGATCCCCAGGACCCCAGAACTCGCTGTGCCTTGGTTACGGAGTGAATAATTCAGGCCACTGAGTATTGGTCATGAAATATTAAACAGGCTGTTACTGACGCACCAGCATGTGAATGGGAATGGGGTAGGGGTGGGGGGGCTCGACGCTGGCACTGGGGCGTGGAAGCTGGTGGCCTCAAGCCAGCGTGTTCCTGAGGAGAGGCGTGTGGGTGGGTCCCTGTCTGCTGCCGTGTGCTGCGTTGGTAACACTGGCTCGTGAGCACCACTCTGCACCCAAACATGGGTCAGGTAACGGAGGACAGCCTACCCCCTCCTCAGGGTCCCTGCTCCTCCCCAAATTCGTGAAGTGCCAGGCTCAGTGTCAGCCTCAGCAAATGGCAGCTGTGCTTCTGGGGAGGGGGTGCCCACATCAAGAGGAAGGAGAGAGCAGGGACTGGGTGCTCAGTGGGGGCTGGAGGCAGCCTGCGGTCAAGGGTCAGGGAAGGGAACAGAGCCCAGGGTTTTAGGGCCAGGGAGAAGTCAGCTGGGAGTGTCCAAGGGGTGTGTGAGAGGGAGGGGCCAAGTCATGTCTGGGGTGACAAGAGGGTAGGTGAGTGGGCAGAGGGAGGAGGAGTGGGTGGCCTGGTGCTGGTGTTAATGGATGGGTGAGGGAGGGAGGGCACGGATGGATGGGGCGGAGCGTGTGATTGATCTCATGAGGGGATGGATGGGGGAGGCAGATGGATAAGAAGATGTGAAGTTGGATGAAGCACTGTACTTCCTGGGGCTCAGAGAGCTGATCTAGCACCGGGAGACGCAGCCCCCAGCCTGAGCTTAGACTGGGTGGGCAGCTTCTGGGTGTGGGCCTAGATTGTGGCTCCACCTAGTGCCCGACTCTGGTAACTACACCCCAGGCTGTCCACACCCATTGTGAAGCCGGAAAAACTAAGGCTCAGCCAGCGGCCAGACCAGCTTCCCTATTTCCCAGCAGCACTCCACCTCATGGGGCTGGTTACCTGTTCCCAGTTAGCACCCCTCTGTGGGGGCTGGGGAACAGGGATGAGAGGCAGTGACAATTGCAAACTAGGCCCCAGGGAAGCCCCAGGGAGTGAAGACCTGGCATGCCAGCCCTCCATCACACAGACAGATGTGTGCTCAAATGCCACTGACCAGCTATGTGACCTTTGGCAAGCCCCTGAGCCTCAACCGCCCCTCTGAAAAATGGGAATGACAGTAGGATCTAAGGGAGGTCAATGAGAACCTGCCCGCTGATACCATAGCTCACGGGAAGTGCTCAGTAAACGGTGGCCACATGTAGGCTTGCCAGAGTAACAACAACCAGGATATCCAACTGAATTTTAATTTCAGATAACAAATAATGGGTTTTTTGGGGGGAGGGTTGGGTATTTTTCTTTCTGCTTTTTCTCCCCAAATCCCCCCAGTATATAGTTGTATATTTTAGTTGTGGGTCGCCACCTCAGCATGGCCTGATGAACGGTGCCATGTCCACGCCCAGGATCCGAACCAGCGAAACCCTGGGCCGCCGTAGCAGAGCGCATGAACTTAACCACTCGGCCACGGGGCAGGCCCCAACAAATAATGTTTTAGTTTAAGTATGTCCTATGCCATATTTGGAACATACTTATACTAGAAAATGATTCATTGTTTATCTAAAATTCAGAAAAATTAACAAATGCACCAGATTTAACTGGGCATCCTGTGTTTTATCTGGCAATCCTACCACTCTGCCCTCTGAGAATTCAGTCTTCTGGGGGAGGCAGAGGCCAGAATCAGTTATGGTCAACCAAGCACAACAGGTGGTCCATGGAGTGAGCCCAGGGCAAGGTGGGGCATGGGAAACCAGGCAAGGCCTCATGGAGGAGGGATCTGTACTGAATCTTAAAGAGTGGAAGAGGGAAGGGCGTTCTAGATGGAGGGGGGACATGATTAAAGGCATAGAGGTCAGGCAGCAGGTGTGGGGACTAACAGTGACAGTGGGTCAGTGTGCCTGAAAAGGTAGGGAGAGGCCAGGTCACCACGTCCTTGTAAAATGGTGGGTTATTTACTCAGATGTGCACTGTGGAAAAGAGGCTGCTGGGGGTGGGGGCGGGAGCGGGGGGAGGGGCAGCAAGACAGAAGGGTGCCCCTGAGGGAGACTGGCGCAGGACTGAGTCCAGAGCGAGTCAGGGACAGCGGGGCCTGGTAGCTAGGCCTTCTCCAACCCACCCTCCCAACCCTCCAGAGCTCCCCAGAAGGAGGGAGGCGAGGGGAGTAGGAAGGCTTTGGAAGGGCGCAGCACTGAGAGCCCACTGTGGCTGCTGCGTCTCTCCAGGGGAGTGAATGCCCAAACCAAGAACGGTGCCACGCCCTTGTACCTGGCGTGCCAGGAGGGCCACCTGGAGGTGACGCAGTACCTGGTGCAAGAGTGCGGCGCGAACCCGCACGCGAGCGCCCACGACGGCATGACCCCGCTGCACGCTGCGGCGCAGATGGGCCACAGCCCGGTCATCGTGTGGCTGGTGAGCTCGGGGAGGCGGCGGGACGGGGCGGGGCCCGGGTGGGGTGGGGCCTGCACTGGAAGGGGGCGGGGCCAGAAGGGGCCCGGCGCCCAGCCACCCGTCTCTCCCCCGGCCCCTCCCGCCCAGGTGAGCTGCACAGACGTGAGCCTGTCGGAGCGGGACAAGGATGGCGCCACGGCCATGCATTTCGCGGCGAGCCGCGGCCACGCCAAAGTGCTCAGCTGGCTCCTGCTGCACGGTGGCGAGATCTCCGCCGACCTGTGGGGCGGGACCCCACTGCATGACGCCGCCGAGAATGGGGAGCTGGAGGTGAGGGCGGGGGGGGGGGGGCCGGGCGGGCGGGCGGGGCGGGCGCCCTCTGCTGGCCCCGCGCTCTCAGTGCAGTTCTCCCAGCGCGCGGGGGCCCAGGCTGGCGGCCGGGGGTCCTCACTGCGCCCCGCGCAGTGCTGCCAGATCTTGGTAGTGAACGGCGCGGAGCTGGACGTCCGCGACCGCGACGGGTACACGGCCGCCGACCTCTCGGACTACAACGGCCACAGCCACTGCACCCGCTACCTGCGCACCGTGGAGAACCTGGTACGTCCCCGACGCTGCTCCTGGCGTCATCTCACCCCCGCCCTCAGCTCCCCCGAGAGGGAGGTGGTGTTACCTCTTTTACCACGAAGGAAGCTGAGGTTCAGGGACCTGAAGCCTCTTACCCAGCGAGTAAGAGCCCTACACCATTACCCCACATGAACTCTCAGCCCAGAACCACTGATCATTGAGGAGTGAGGGGCTGGAGGCAAAAAGGTCAAGGAAGGAGGACCAGCTTCCTCCTGATAAGAAAGAAGGCTGGAGAAATCACAAGACACTTACATACCGATGGAAATAGTCATCTTCGTCGACCCGTTCACAGCCCACAGTATTAGCTCATTTAACTCACCACCGCCTTCTCAGGTAGGCAGTGTGTTAGGGTCCCCGTTTCAAAGGTGGGTAAACTGAGTCTCAGGGGGACCCCAGGTCACACAGCTGTTAGAAGGTGGAGCCGGGTGGCCTGGCCCGGAGCCACCTCTTTTGACTACTACACTGTATTAGCTCACTTTGTGGCTGCTTTGTAACTGGAAACTTGTGTTGTTCTTTCTAAATTATTTTATTATGGTTACACAGCTGTATAGTAACCCACCGGGACTTGAGCTCAGGTGTGGGTGGCTCCAAGTCCAGGACTCTGCTTCATCTGGTGCAATGCCTGCTTTGGAGAGGAGGGAGGAAAAGGGGTGGGCCTCACAGGCACCTTCAGAAGCACCCGCTCAGGGGGCAGCCTGGCCCCCAACCCAGAGCATGGCTGCCCTATCTGCAAGCATAGGGGGCACCCTGTTCTGGGGAATCAAGGGTACAACAAGGCCCAGGAGTCAGAGACTGCCACTGATCCCGAGGAGGCTTTTCCCCCCAGAAAGGGACACTCAGAGAGAGTAGTGGTCCAACATGTAATGAGCGCCCTGTCACCAGGGTATACAAGCAGGGGTGGATGCTGTGAAGGGCATTTCTGCACCAGAGGTGGGTTCCTTCCCACTGAGAGAGTCTGTGATTCTGTTTTGGGGGTGCAGTGGGGGGTGGCACAGAGCCTCAGCCCCCCAGCCCCTCCTGACAGTGTCTGCAGCTGCTGGCAGTAAGCAACGAGCACCATTCCTTGAGTTCGGACTCTGGCAGGTCCCCTTCCTAGTGCTCTATGGTGTAATCTTAGTTCATCTTCACAGTAAATTAATACTGATAGTTGACACATATGGCATTCATTAGCTAACATACCCTGGCACTTCACTAACTTTTCAAATCTTTTTCACAACCCAGTGGGGCAGGCAGTAGTGTTTCCTCATTTACAGATGAAGAAACTCAGGTGCAGAAAAGATAAGTGACTTGCCCAAGGTCACATAGCTAGTAGGTGGAGGAGGTGAAATTTGAAGCCAGCATCCCAGGCTGCACAGCCCGTGCCCCTAACCTCCATTATCCCTGGGGTCAGGGCTGGGCACCCCCAGTGCCTACTGCTGTCATCTAAGAAAAGAGCATCTTCAGGCTGCCGCCCCAAACCCAGCTCCTGTTGGCTCCCCTTGGCTCATGGGGTAGGCAGCAGGGCCTGGTCCCCCTGAGCTGGGTAGGATGTGGGGGCCCTGGCCCCCTCACTCAGGGGGACCCAGCTGCAGCAGTGACAGATCCAAGCCACCAAGGAGGCTGGCCCAGAAAAGGCAAACACTCTCACAGAGCCCCTAATTACGGGGCCAATGAGCGTGGCTGCTGAGCTGTTACCTGGTGCCAGGCCTGCCTCGCACTCCCAGGGGGCCTGTGACACTTCTCAGGCAGGGAGGGGGCGCAGGGCAGGGAGGAGCAGGCCTGGGCAGGAGCAGCGAGCAAGCCGGCTTGCAGCAGCAGGGCCAGCATGGGCAATGTAAGCAGGGCCCCCACCCCAGCCAGCTCCCATGCCAGGAGGGTCAGGCCTGTGGACAGGGGCACAGACAGTGGTGGGGGATGGAAGGCTTGGCAGCCTGAGTTCAGGCTGCCCACGCAGCTCAGCTGGGCCGCCCCAGGCCCCACCCTTTTCCCAAGGGCCCCTTCAGGAGGCAGGGGCTGGGCTGGTCTTGGGATTTGCCTCAGTTGGGCAAGGAGGGACAGTGGTTGTTGGCCAGGTAATGGGGGATCAGTCTTGCCTGCAAGTTGTGGGGGCCCTGACCCCCTCCCCCACCCCCAGCTGCTGCATGTATTCTCACCAGCTGCAGGGCCTGAGCCCCAGCCCCACAGATACACTGGAGCCCAGGCCCTCTGCCCATTCATAAGGAAGGAGAGGGCTGGTGCCATGGCAGTCCTTCCCTTGGGGTCCAGCCCAGGTCCCCTCTTCTGTCAGTCTCTCCCCACCACAAGGAGGAAGGGGACAGGGGTGGGAATTTCGCAGGAACCCATGGTCCTGCTGCCAGGGGGCAGGGCTTGAATTTTAGCCTGGGAAGAACCTGAGAGACCCTCTTGTGATGGGGAGGAGAGCCCAGAAAGGGAAGCGCCTTGGCTGAGGTCACAGAGTGAGAGCATGCCTGAGCAGGACCCTGGCCCAGAGTGTGCTGGTCCTCGCGGCCTCCCCTTCTGCTCAGAGTGTAGAGCACCGCGTGCTGTCCCGGGATCCGTCCGCTGAGCTGGAGACCAAGCAACCCGACTCGGGCATGTCCTCGCCCAATACCACCATGTCGGTCCAGCCACCGAACTTTGACCTCAGCTCGCCTACCAGCACCCTCTCCAACTATGACTCCTGCTCCTCCAGCCACTCCAGCATGAAGGGCCAGCGCCGCCCCCTGCGTGGTGAGTGGGCCAGAAGAGGGAGGAGGGAGAGCAGACAGGAGCCAGACCACTAGACCCTGAGGGCTGGCCCGGGGCCCACTCCACCCACAGCTAATGATGGAGGCTACCCAGGTCACCAGGAGGGGACACTGGTTCTGGTGAGAGACAGGTGACATGCATACTTGTGTGTGCCCATCACAGGCATACCTGTACTTTCACACATACTCTCCCTCAGACAAAACCCCCCTGCACCCAACACACAATTCCATATCCTCACTCACACATGCACAAAATGTTCCCTAGACCTCACACCCGCCCACCCACACTCAAGAGTGCACACTTGGGGGCTGGCCCCATGGCCCAGTGGTTAAAGCTCCATGCGCTCTGCTTCGGCGGCCTGGGTTCATGAGTTCAGATCCCAGGTGCAGATCTACACCACTTGTCAAGCCGTGCTGTGGCAGCATCCCACATACAAAATAGAGGAAGACTGGCAACAGATGTCAGCTCAGGGCTAATCTTTCTCCAAAAAAAAGAGTGCACAACTGTACCTGTGTACACACAATACACAGATATGAAGGCACAGCCACACGTACGGAGCCGCACAGATACAAGCACACACCTGCACTACACACAGACACATAACCTTCTATTTCCATACTCAGACATACACACAGACACAAACACACACACATGATGCCCACAGACCAATGCACGCACATTCACAAATACAAAGAAGCATGTGCACACACTCACAAATATACATGAATGCACAAATGCTCAGGCAGAAGCCAAGCAGGTGTCTACACACACTCTGACCATGCCTTGAGCATGGGTGTCTGTCCACCTGCCATGCCTGCTTCATGCCACCAGGTGATGGCCTGCAGAGATGGCAGGGGGCCCTGCAAAGACTGGGTGTGGTCATCCATACTCCTGCCACCTTGCCCTGCCAGATCTGCCCTGAGGGGTGGCCCTTCTGCTCTCCACATGGCCCTGCTCCACAGGCACGCCCTCTGGTGCCTCCCCTCTAAACCTGAGCACATTGTCTTTCCCCAACAAGTGCAGGGCCCGGGCCCACAGTGGGGCCATACCAAGCTGTGGCCCTGAGCCCCCCTGGCCCTCTGGTGAGTTGTTTCCAGGCAGTGGAGGTCTCGGTCCTGGGGGACAGCCTCTCTTGCAAACTCCCAAACCCAGCCTTCCTTCCATCCCCAGGGCTTCCCAGTGCAAGGGCTGCAGATATACAGAGCTACATGGACATGCTGAGCCCGGAGCTGGGCCTGCCCCGTGACAAGATGGAGAGAAGCACACCACCACCACCCAGCTTCCCTCCGCCACCCCCACCCCCAGGCACCCAACTGCCCCCACCTCCACCAGGCTACCCAGCTCCCAAGCCCCCTGTGGGGCTACAGGCAGCTGACATCTACATGCAGACCAAGAACAAACTCCGCCACGTGGGGACTGAGCCCTTCAAGAAGGAGGTAGTGAACCCTTAGCCACCTGCTGGCCTCCCAGCACCGGGACTAGGCTGATGGAGAGCAGTGGAGGCCAATGGTCTGTTCAAGCTCCTGCCCAGCCCTATGGGGGCTCAGGGCTGGGCACTGGGAACAGGGAGATGAGTAAGACAAAGCCACCACCCTTTGGGGAGCTGGGGGCAGGGGAGGGGTGAAGGAACATATACCCAGACAGCGTGCCTCTCAGGGAGCTGGGTCCTCCCCCTCCTTACACAGAGTGTCAGGGTGGTCGTGGAGTTGGCAGAGAATATGTGCAAACTGCCTCTCCACAGACATACACATGCCCACAGCCCCGGGCTTAGGCGGAGAATAGCTCCCAGGGGGGTGTCTTCCAGTAGGAGATGCGGATGGCATGGCTGTGCATGTGAGGGCCAGGAGGAGGGTGGAGGCAAGGTGAGAGGGCACTAGCAAGACTCAGCACCCATTGGCTTGGGGGCTGGGGCTGCGGTAACTGGTGGCTGGCTCCCCAGTTTGGGGCTTGAGCTCCCAAGTGGGTAGAAGGGCCAGTCCTGAGATGGGATCCTCTGGGAGAAGCAAGCTTGTGAGAAAGGGATGAATCTGGTGTGGGCACGTTGAGTGCCAGGTGCCCAGGGTGTCAGGGCCTGTAGGATCCTGGCTGAGCTCTGGGGCAGGGGGAGGGGCAAACGGCTGGTCTGGACAGCTCTGAGAGTCCTGGGCAGGGAGACCCAGAGGAGGTCCTGTGGTACTGGCCAAAAGGACAAAGCAAGGCTGGCCTGTGGCAGGTGGGCATGCATGCAGCCTGAGCCCTCAGGTGACCGAGTGTGGGGTGGAGGCCCCTGAGGGTCCTGTGGGAGGCCTGACCTTGTAGTTCTCCCTCCAGTCCAAGGCAAGCCACTCCAGGGCCAAACTGAATAACCAATTCGCACAGGTGACTGAGGTCACAAGGCCACCGAGCAGGGAAGGGGAGGGCCATAGCATCCACAGAGACTCCACCTGCCCCCTCTTCATGCCACCTCAGACCAAGCTCTCAGTCGGGTTCCCCTTTCATCTCCACCAGATGGAGGAGGCTCAGGAGAGGCCTGCAGGGGACCTAGGGCCAGCGGACTTCCCCAGCCAGATGTGTGGGCCCTGCCCAAAGCCGCAGGACAGGTGGCCGGGCCTGCACCCCCTCCCCTCCCCTGAGCCATAGCATCAGGCCTGTGCTGCCCCCATGCCCCTCCTGGGTGTGTGCGTGTCGGTCTGCAGGCACCGGGTGCTCCACAAAGGGCCCTTTGTGTGCCCGCAGTGCCCTCCGCCGGGTCGGAGCTTTGCCTGACTGTGGGCGGGAGCAGGTTCGTGGCTTCCACGCCTCGGAGCTGCAGGGGGCGCGGAGGGGCGGGCTGGCCCAGAAAACAAATCCTTCGGTGTCCCGTTTCCTGAAACGTGAGCCAGGTCGGGTGGAGCGTGGAGGGTCCGGGGCCACCGCGGGGACACACGGGCTGGGGGGTGAGACGAAGGACAGCCCCCCACCTGGAGACTCGGCCTTTGGCCCTGCTGGCTCACATCCTCCTTCTCAGGCTGGGCTTAGCAGGGGGCATCTGCGAAAGAGCGGGCTGCTGTGCTGTCACCCGAGCCCGCCTTGCCGCCCCTGAAACTCGAGGCTTGGGCGCGGGTGTCGGTTTACGAGGATGGCGATGGTTTCCAGATGCGGGAGGGGAAGGGCAGGGGCGTGACCTGGAACCCAGGGGGGCCAAATATCGGGGGCTCCACTGCCTGCGGTCAAGACCGCATTCTGTCTCCCGCGTATGGAGGAGATGAGTAGGGGGATGAAGCCCCGGGTGCCCAGCGCCTAGCGAGGGAGAGAGGCGCAGGGGGCGGGGCCACATCTTGCCCGAGGGGCAGGCGCGGCAAGGCCGGGTGTGGCACAGCAGTTGGCGGCTCGGTGGCGTCCCCTACTGCTGGGGGGGTTCCGCTCGGGATTGGCGGGTCCTGGGTGATGTCAGGCCGACAGAGCTCATAGGCGCGGGCGGGCACGGGCTGGGCTGTAACCTGAGAGGAAGGATCAGATAGCGCAGGTGTCCGGTCCATGCCGCCCCCACCGCCAGGTGCACAGCGGGGGGCCACCGGCACAGGCGCAGGTAGGAGCAGCCCCAGCCCCGGGGCGGGCGGCTGAGAGCCCTGGGCAAGCAAGAGCCTAACAGGACTTGAGTTCTCGAGAGGGCGCCCTCGGGGCCAGGACTCCCGCAAGAGAGGGTTCGGGGGAGCCTCGGGGACGCGCGGGACGGTCTGGCAGCCGGCGGTGGGGTGCGGCTGAGGCCTTAGCGCTGGCGAAGCTGGGAGCTGCCCCTTCTCCGGCTCCACCCCGCCCCTGGGCCCGCCCCTTCTAGCCTCACTGGGAGCCCTTGTGCCCCTTGGCGTGCGCCCAGAACCCCTCACTGTAGAGTCGACCGAGCCTGCCCTTTTACCGAGGCCCCCATAACCCTTCCCCTATCCCCGTTCTGAGAACAGGAGGGTCTGGGAACGGGGTTGGTTGCAGCCTGCGACGGCCGCTGGCCGCGAGCCCCGAGAAGGTGAAGAGCGGGCGGGGGCCGGGGGCGGGGGAGGCATAAGGGCCAAGTGCCTGAAGCCCACTTCGCCGCCGTTTTCCCACAGCTGAGCTCCCGCGACGGCCACAACGGGCTGCGGAGGCAGGACTCCAGCCGCAAGCCCCGCGCCTTCAGCAAGCAGCCCAGCACGGGGGACTACTACCGCCAGCTGGGCCGCTGTCCCGGGGAGCCGCCGGCCGCACGCCCGGGCATGGCGCACAGCGAGGAGGTGCGTGCCCGCCAGCCCGCGCCCGCCGGCCGCCCGGGACCCGGCGGGGCCGCCCGCTTCTCACTCGCTGGCCCCTCCGCTCCCCCGCAGGCGGCGCTGCTCCCCGGGAACCATGTGCACAACGGCTGCGCCGCGGACCCCAAGGCGTCCAGGGACCTGCCGCCGCCGCCGCCGCCGCCGCCGCCCCCCTGCCCGAGGCCCTGAGCTCGGCGCCGCCTGCTCCGCCTCTGCCCTTTGAGGGCGCCGGTCCCGGCTGCGGGCAGCGGCGCTCCTCCTCGTCCACTGGCAGTGAGTAGGGGAGGGTTGGGGAGGGGGGCGGCGCTAGCCCTGAAGGGGAGGGAAATCTCAACACCGCCCCCTCCCCAGCTGCGACTGCCCTAGTGCTTTCTCTTTTCCTGCTTGTTCTTCCTGCAGCCCCTACTCCAGTGAGGACTTGATCCTAAGAGAAGGTTCTGACTCAGAGCAGGATGCACATGTGTGTGTTAGCTTGTCCTCCTTGATTCTGGGGGTCAGGTAAATGGACCAGATTTAGCTGGGTCCGGTTCATTTGTCCTTCATGTGATGTTGACTAGGGCAGTAGAATTGACTGGAAGATCTGAGCTGTGTGATCTGGGGCACATCCACTTCCCTCTCTGGGCCTCCCAGCTCTTGTAGCTGGTGATTCGGATTAGCTGGTGCTAGAGGGAAGCGCTGAGAAGTAGAACCGGCTTCAAGGAGTCAGAGCTGCTGGCCGACTTTCTTCCTGCCCCACATCTGTCCTGAGCCTCTCCTCCACTCCTCACCTCTTTCTCTTGTATTTCCAAGCTGGCTACAGCCCTGAGCCCTTCTCAGATGCGTCAGGGATTCTTCCCAGCCACGTCTCCCCCAGGGGCCTCACTCAGGCCAGACAGGGTCTGGCTTAGGGGACAAGACCAGTGACCCATCATGCCCTGCCCTCCCCGTCCTGGTGACTCCCCTGGGCATCATTTTTTAAGAGCTAGACTGGTGAGGCTGGCCCAGTGGCACAGCGGTTAAGTTTGCATGTTCCAATTCGGCGGCCCAGGATTCACTGGTTCGGATCCCAGGTGCGGACCTACGCACCGCCTGTCAAGCCATGCTGTGGTGGGCATCCCACATATAAAGTAGAGGAAGATGGGCATGGATGTTAGCTCAGGGCCAGTCTTCCTCAGCAAAAAGAGGAAGATTGGCAGCAGATGTTAGCTCAGGGCTAATCTTCCTCAAAAAAACAAAAAAGAGCTAGACTGCTGACCAGGATTCCTGGGCTTCCCTTCTGTAATATGAGACAGTCTCCTGCATGCCAAGGCTCCTGGAAGGCCCAGGAGGTAGTGCCTGGGTGCTGATGCTCCCATCCCAGCCTTGGGGGAGGTGGAGTGCCTTTCTCACCCAGCTGCTCAGTGCAGGGACCATGCGTAGTGGTACCATCCAAAACTTCACCTCTCTGACTGGGAATGTGAGGGTGCAGTGGGGTCCAGGGTAGGGCCAGCCTAGGCTCCCTGGGGTACCTATGGAGCCCCAGCCCCTGCAGACCAGAGCCATAGTAGCATGTCCACCCACCAGAAAGGCCCCAAGCTCTGGGGTCAGCTTCTTCTCTCTACAGCCTGGAGCAGAGCTGAAGCTAGGAACAGAAGAAAAATAGACTCTGGGCTTCTCTAGACACCCCTTCTCAGCAGAGTCTGGGCTGGATGCCCTATGCCAACCCAATGCCAAGATTGAGGCCCTTGCTAGGGGAGCCAGGGCCAGTAGCAGCCCTGCCCAACTCTCAGGGACACCAGCAAAGCTGGGAACTGGGCGGACCACCCTTGTGGAGCCCCAGAGCCGCCTGAGCCAGGGTCAGATGGGCAGGAAAGTTCCTCCTCTCCTCTCCCCCCTCCTCTGCGCATCTCCCTCCCTTCCTCCTGCCCTCCCTGGCCTTCTCTTTGTCCTAGCCTCACCCTGGCCCCCTCCCCCTCCTAACTTCGCTGTCACTTCTCTCCTCTCGGTCCCTAGAAGTGAGAGTCCTGAGGCACAGGAAGAGTGAGTAGCTGCGTGCGCGGCTCCTGGCTGAGGCGCGGGGGCGGGGGATAAGGCGCTCTCAGGAAAAACGATGCCGAAGGGGTACGGGACTTGAGGAAAGGGCAGAGCCAGGGGCGGGCAGGAGAGAGGTCCTCGATGCCACATGCGGGGCCTCCGGACCCACCTGCCCTCCTACCCCCACCACACTCGTGTGCACGCTCACGCATTCCGCGCCCGGCCGACGGTTTTGCCTAAATAAATGAGCCTACCGCCGGTGCCTGCCCGACACCTTTCCGTTTTTCCCCCTTCCGCTACTGCGCTCTGGGATCACCAGCCTGGGCAACCCAGGAGCTGTTGGCCCGTTTTGTTCCCCTCACCCAACCATGACTCCTTCCTCAGGCTCTAAAGACAATCCTCCCCAAACTCCAGTCACCTCCGCCGGCCTCGTCGGAAAATGCAAACTCCGCTCCGGGCATTTGCATGTTATCCGCCTGGCCCTTCTTCCTGGGTGTCCCCGCCCCATATACTTAGTAAAGGCTCCGTTTTCCTGAGTCTCCCAGAGCTAAGCAGCGCTTTGCCATAAGTGTGCTCCGGGCTTGCAACCAGTGTGTCTGCGCGGCGTCTGTCTGTGGGGGTGGAGTGGGGAGGGGACCGGCTGGGTTCCGGCGTCTAGGGTCCTGAGCCCGTAGAGCCAAGGAGGCCCCAGGCGATTCAGTCCAAGGGTCACTGGGCTTTGCTGATGCAGAGGGCCGGAGGAAGACTCCACCCCGGCAGGGCCGAGCCAGGGAACCTGGGACAAAGGTCGGGTGGCTGGCCCCAGGTAGTGTTTTGGAGCTGGGCAGTCAGTGCGCTGGGCGGAGACATTCGCTTGAGGCCCCAGGGCCAGCCCAAGAGCCGTCATGAACTCTCAGGGGCCTCCAGGCGGAGGCCCCACGCCCCGTGAGTAGAACCGGGAGGATGGTGGGGCCGCGCGGGCTGCGAGCGGAGAACCCGTCTCTGGGGTCCTTGAGGGCTGCTCGCGAGGCCCGGGATCTGGAGAGCTGCCCTCTCGGCCCAAGGGAAGGCCCCCAGCCCGGTCTAACTTGGGGAGGGGGCCGCAGAGAGACAAGTCGGGGGTCGGCGGGGACGCAGGCCCCCAGCCAGCACCTCGTCTCCGGCCTCCGCTCAGGCACCAAGTCTTTCAACATGATGTCCCCGACGGGCGACAACTCTGAGCTGCTGGCTGAGATCAAGGCGGGCAAGAGTCTGAAGCCGACGCCGCAGAGCAAGGGGCTGACCACGGTGTTCTCCGGCAGCGGGCAACCGGCCTCCCAGGTAGGCGGTCCGACAGGCGCCCCCGCCCCGCCTCCCCGCGCCCCTGCCCGCCGGGGCTTAAGCCCCGCCGCTTCTCCCCGCAGCCCGACTCGCCGCTGCTGCCGGCGTCGCCCGCGCCGTCACGGGCCCGGAGCCCCACCCCGCCGGTTGCAGGACCCCAGCCGCTGCTCAACGGTAGCGTGGCGCCGGCGCCGCCCGCCACCCCTGCGCCTGGCGTGCAGCTCGATGTGGAGGCGCTCATCCCCACACACGACGAGCAGGGCCGGCCCATCCCGGAGTGGAAGCGCCAGGTGATGGTGCGCAAGCTGCAGCTGAAGATGCAGGAGGAAGAGGAGCAGAGGCGGAAGGTGGGTGGGTGGGGCTTCCCAGGGGGCCCTGGGGTCTGCAGCTGGGCCCACAGCCCACCCCCTACATCACACTCCCCCCTGCCCGGGCCCTTCAACCTCAGGCGGTTCCCATTACCTCTGGGGAAAAGCAGGGTTGGATGACCTCCCCTCTCCTGGGGCTGTTCCCCATCTCCACCGCCCAGTAACCTGTTCTTTGGTGAGATGGCCATGTTCATCCAACTCTAATGTGCCTTCAAATCGCCTGGGATCTTATGAAAATGCCTATTCTGATTCAGGAGCTCTGGGTGGGGCTAAGATTTTGCACTTCCAACAAGCTCCTGGGTGAGGCTGACCAAGCTGGTGCAGGGACCACGCTGAGTAGCCAAGAGGGCTTTGGTCTCTGTCAGACCAGCCTGGGCTCTTTCCCTACACTGCCACTTTCCAGCTGCTGATACTGAGCCTCATCCAGCCTCAGTTTCCTCATTTGTCAGGTCAGTTGATCATCACCGGCTGGCAGAATAGTTTACCATTGATCTGCTCAACAGACATTCCCCGGGCGCTATCTATGTGCTACACTGTTGTGGCCTCTGGGGATTCACTGTGTATCTGTCAGGGCCTGCTCTCAAGGTGGCTGCGGGAGGGGGTCAGGGGAGGGTCAACCAGCAAGCAAACACGGCACCTTCGTAGAGTGATAAGTGCCCCCAAGGAGACAAAACAAGGCTATGTGAGAGAGGGAGCGACCGGGGAGGCAAACACGGGGCTGTTAAAGCACCTCAGTGCTGTGATGGGGAGAGCAGAGCAGTGGGCAGCCCTACTCCACCATCCTGCTCAGGCTCGGGGCGTGGTTATCGAGGGAAGAAGTGATGTCTAAGATTGACTTGGAAGATAAGCTAGAGGTGGACAGAAAAAGAGTGGAGCAAAGAGCAACCAGGCAGGACAGGGGAGGTCTGGGAGTCAGAGTGGGTGTGGCTCGGTGACTGTACTATGGGAGGGGACAGAGCTGGAGAGGTGAGTGAGGGTCAGATCATCACGGCCTGGCCAGCTGCCCAGAAGAAAATGGACTTTCTCCTGGAACCGTGAGGAACCTGGGAGGGAAGATAACTGGGAGGTGGCATCATCATATTTGTAGGTGGGGAAAGGATTGTAGTGGAGAGGATGAATTGGGAGGCCTGTGAGGAGGTGAGGGCCCCCCCCCCACCCCAACCCGGGCTGGAAAAGCCTGGTGCTAAAGTAGCAGCATAGAAGTGGAGAAAAGAGAGGAATAAATGAGACTGTCAGAAGTGCTTGGCAAGCCTGGCTGTATGAACTGTACTATTATCCCAGGGATGACAGGGCGTGGGAATTGCAGTAGGAATTTAGCCTCTTTAAGAGCCTCTTATCCATCAGATAAAAGACTGATGTGGAACAGGGAGGGCTTGGGCGGAAGGACAGCTTGAGAAGGTCGTGGATGGGGAGAGGAGAGGCCCCACTGGGGTCTGGCCTCGACATCGACATCGCAGACTTTGGGCGGGGTGGGACAATGCGCCGGTGCATCGCAGCTTCAACGCCTTTTGCATGTTCCTTCGGTGGTGTAATGAGCAACCAAGCCAGGTGTGGAGACTCCGTCTGCCCGCCCTGCCTCTACAACAGCGCCCAACGACCGGCTGTGTCCCCGTCAGCGACCAAAGTGGACACTGCCCAAAGCCTGGAGCGGCGGCCTGGGCCAAAGCCTCGTCCCAGCGTAATCGCCCGCCGGCCAGGCGCGGCCCGTCCGTGCAAACGCAGCCCCGCGGAGCCATTACACCACCCGGGACATGCAAAGGGCGCCCTCGGCGGGCGCTACGGGAGCCAGGCCAGAGGGAGACGCGCCTCCCTCCCCTCTCTTGTTTTCCCCGCCTTAGCTGACGGCCGGCAGCTCGTGCTGCTACCCCCGCGAGGGCTGGAGGTACTCCCGCGAGCACAACGGCATCCTCGGGCCCTTCGGCGAGCTCATGACCGAGGCCGACATCCTCCGCATCGAGCAGCAAATCGAGAACCTTCAGGTGTTGCACAAGGCGCAGAAGCTGGAGGCGCGCCTGGAGCAGCTGGAACTGGAGCTGGAGCAGCTGCTGCCCATTTCGGCCGCCTTGTCGGCGCCGCGCTTCACCGTCGACCCGCGCCGCATGCACGGCCGAGCCGCCAGCCTGCCCGCCTGGTGCAGCAAGATCTCCACCCTGCTCAAGAGCATGGCCACGCTGCTGGCCGCGCTGGGCGGCCGGCCTGCGCACCTAGCCGATCTGCTGGCGGCCGACACGGGCCAGCCGTTGGCGCCGCTGCCCGACGCGCCCTGGCGGCCGGGCCCGCTCTGCCTGGGCCGCTCCCACTCGCTCAGCTGGTGCCGCGAGGCCGTGGCACGCGAGATCCTCGAGTGTGGCGTCTCGGTGCAGCACCTCCGCGCCACCTATGAGCTGCGCGCCCAGGGCCCGGCGCCCGCGAGCGACCCGCGCCGCAAGCTCTCGTCGCCCTCCGGCGCCCCGGGCCGCGAGCCTATCCTCGAGGAGGACTACGTGGCGGCTGGCCCCGACGAGCCAAGTGCCGCCGCTGTCAACGGCCTGCTGGCCACCGCGGAACCCCTGGGCGTGCTGGGCCCGCCCGAGGCACCAGGCCGCCAGGTGGCGCTGCCGGAGCCCGAGCAGCTGGCGCGCAGGCCGCCGCTCCCCACCGAGCTGCGCGGCGTCCAGGACTACATCGACATGCGCAAGGAGCGCATCGTCTACCTCTTCCTGGAGCACTGGCGCAAGTGGGCCTTCCGCGGCCCGAGGCGCCACGCCCCGGCGCGCCTGCGCAGACTGCTGCCCCGCGTGGCGGCCGCGGGCGCTGGCCTCTACTCGGAGGCCGCCGACGTGCCCCAGCCGCGGGCCGCCGACGGCCTAGACGAGCGGCTGCTGCGCCTACTGAAACAGCGGCAGGTGGTGGGCAAGCTGCTGGGCCGCTGGCGAAGCCTCCTACGGCAGGTGCCGGCGCGCCAGCCACCGGGCCTGGGCCTGGCGCACGGCCTGTACTGGCCGGAACAATTTCTGCCGCCCCTCGACGGCGGCGCGCCCCCACGCTACGACAGCCTCACTCTCGATCTCTTCATGCTTGGCTACTTCCAGCTGCTCGAGATGGGCCTGAGTCGCGAGGAGCGCAAGTTCCGCCACCTGCTGTGCTACGAGATGTTCGACCGGTTGGGCAGCCACCCGTGGGAGCTCATCCGCCTCTTCCACCGCGTGGTGCTCGAGGAGGTGGAAGCCGGCCGGCGTGGCTGGAGCGACGGCTTCGAGGACCTCAGGCGTCAGTTCTTCGGAGACAGCCCAGAGGCTGAGCCGGCCCGGGAGGAAGAGGCTGAGAAGGAGCCAGAAGAGGAGGAAGAAAAAGAGGAGAAGGAGAGGGAGCCGGCCCAAGAGGCCGCTCGAGCTCAGACGGAGGACTGGCGAGAGGAGCAGGCGGAGGCGCCTGCCCCTGCACCGCAGCCCCCGTCCCCCCCCCCGCCAGCCGCTCCTCCCCCGACGTCGGACCCTCCTAGGACTGAAGCCCCCGCCGAAGACCCCCTAGAGCTTGTGACTGAGATGGGCGAGTTCAGCAACGAGGACATCTGCCGCTACATAGACCGCAGCTTCTCCTTCTGGAAGGAGAAGGAGGCAGAGCTTTTTGACATCTGAGCAGCAGAATTCAGAAATTACCCTGAAGCATCTTAACCCGGGCCTGGATGCCTGTCGGGTGCTCTCTGGAGGCCAGAAACAGGCAGGAAGAACCCAGGATAGGTGGCCTTGGAAAACCCAGCATGCCCGGGACCAGGCTGCCTCAGCCTTTGAGGTCCCATCATGGCCTGATGTGGGGTGTTGGCTGGGATGGGGGGGGCATGGCACAGGGCAAAATAGATGTTCCCATTTGACCCTACAGTGTTGCCTGCTTCCGCATGCACCCAGGTGGAAGAAGCAGCCCCTCTCAGTGAGGGACTTTGGGTCCCCCTTGGGGCCGTGTGGCTCTCTTTCTCTCTTTGGTTTTTCACTGGAATTCACAGCTGCCTCTTTGGCTGAAGTCAGGGGAGCCACGTGTGCAGTGTTCCGTGTGACGTGTACAGATCCTTTCTTCCCTGTAACAACCAAGTAATAAAACTCTTTGCTGTAAGCTGCCTGTGTTGGATGCCCCCCGTCGTGTCACTGTAGCCCCACAATTGTAGAGCTGGTGTCTATTCTGGGAATAGGACAAATATAGGCCAGAAGGTCCTTCACAGTGGAGCCAGGGGGCAGCCTGAGTCTCTCCTAGCTGGCAGGATCTGTGGGGGCCCAAGTATGTGTATCTGCCCAGAGATTCTGGGCCACAGGCCTGGGGTCATCTGCCCACCCGCCCCAATGGGGAATCTCATTCTCTGCTCCCCTCCTACACCCAGCTCTGACCTCTCTGGTGCTATCTCTAGGACACAGGGACCGGGGTTATGGCACCTTCATCCATTTGCCCTATAGAAGGGCATCAAACAGGTCTCTTCCTGCGACCCCATCTGTGTCCCATTGTCCCTGACTCAAGAAGATTCCCAGAGTTGAGGGTGCACCCCCTTCAGCCCCCTACGTCCCAGCCCATGCTGACCCTGAAGCTTTGTGCTCGTGTTTCAGGAGGAGGAGGAGGAGGCCCGGCTGGCCAGCATGCCTGCCTGGAGGCGGGACATCCTGCGGAAGAAGCTCGAAGAGGAGAGGTGAGCTGGGGGTCTGGAAGATGCAGGCCCTGGCAGGGTATGTTGATCATGTCCCTGAGGTAGTGGCACCAATTAATGCTGTCTTTTTTCCTTCTAGGGAGCAGAAGCGGTGAGTATGGGGCTGGGCTCGACCTGCCTCTCCTCCCTGCACCTAGTCACGGTCTTTTTGCCCCTTCACCCAAACCCATCTTGAACACATCCCCTTGTCACTCAGCCCTGTAGCACAGCCTCTCTGTTCCCAATAATCCCACCAGACCCCTCTCCCCCAATAACTTAGTCCCTGTTCCCCAAAGTCTACCTCCTATGCTGTAGTAACTTTGACACGAATTACCCAGCTCCCATCTCCCTTTCTGCTCTGCAGTTAACCCAACCTCTGTGCTAATAACCTTGATAGTCTGTCCTTCAGAACTTAGTTTCTGTCCCCAGTAATCTAGCCCAATGCTGTCCCATAGAAATATAATGATAGCCACTTATGTAATGTTAAATTTTCTAGTAGCTACGTTGAAAAAAGAGATCCAGATGAACTTAATTTTCACAGTATATTTTACTTAACCCAATATATCAAAACTCAGTTATATACTGAAATAATTATAATTTCAATTGAAATTATATATTTCAATATATAATCAATATAAAGATTATTAATGAGATGTTTTACACTCCTTTTGAAAACTAAGTCTTTCAGATACCATGTGCGTTCTGTGCCTACAATACTCCTCAGTGCCACCATTTCAAATGCTCAAGCCACCTGTGCTTAGCAGCTACCTTGTCAACAGCACAGATCTAGCCCCCACGTTCTAATAACCTGTTCTAATTACCCAGCCCATCTCCCAATAATGTGCTTCCTCTGCTCCCCAGGAGCCCAACCCCAGTCCCGAGTAACTCAGGTCCTGGCCCCAGTAATCTCTTCCCCTGCCCCCAGAACGCCCCCTCCACACCCTCTGCCAACCTCAACCCAGCATCTCTGCTTCCAGTAACACCCTCAGCCAGCAATAACCCAGCCACAGCCTCTAAATCACCCAGCTCTTATGTGTACCCCAGTGACCCCAGTCTGCCCCCAACCAAGCCCCTCTGTCCCCAGCAATCTCAACCACATGCTTCCTAACCCACCCCCTGTCCCCGCTTGCCTAGCCCTTCTGCCTCTAGAACCCATTACCCCGCCCACCATTAATTAGTCCCTCTGTCCTCAGCAGCTCAGCCCCTGCCCTCAGTAACCCACTCCTTGCCAGTGACCACTCACAGTACGCGGCCCACCCTCTCACCCGGGCCGCTATTCTGCCCCCACCCCATGCTTAGGAAAGAGGAGGAGCGACAGAAGCAGGAGAAGATGCAGCGGGAGAAAGAGCAGTCGGAGAAGCTGCGGACGCTGGGCTACGACGAGACCAAGCTGGCGCCTTGGCAGCGGCAGATCATCCTGAAGAAGGGAGACATCGCTAAGTACTAGATGCCGCCCTCCTGTACGCAGCCTTCCGAGTTCGTAGGGGGGCCCCCCAGCTCCCGCCCTGGCCTGGCAGGCCCGGGAGCCGCGCCGCCCTCCCCTCCCGCGCTGGAACCCCTCCCTGACCCTCACCCCAGGCCCCGCATCCTCAGCCCGGGGTGACGCTGGAGCACGCCCGCCCCCGCAGTCGCCCAGAAAAAGTGCCCAAGCTGTTGACGCAAAAAGATGCTGCTTATTTGCATGCCTACTTACATATATTTGCATGTTCGTTGAATGTCAAAATGTGCAGAGCTCTCCCTAGCCCCGTGGGTGGTGACTTTGATTTCCCCGCGGGGCGCGCACCGGCTGCAGCCCCCTCCCCCGCACCCCGGAACCCGCGTGGCTGGCGCATCCTGGGCGGAGGCGGGCCCCACGCTCGGGGAAGGGGTTTTCCTCCCTCCCTGACCCAGATCTGCGCCCGGCCTAGCCGGGGCCACATTTCCCATCCCCGCCAAGGGTTTCCTCTCAGTCATTTGTTTACCAGAAACGATGAAAACTGCAAACTGCCCGTCGGGACGGAGTTGCCGCTCCTGGGGCCCCACCTCTGCCCCCACTTCCCTCCAGTTAAGTCTGCGCCCCGTCCCCGGCTAGGCCCCGCGCTCCTCGGACCCTTTCACTGCCCTGGTGGAGTGAGTGGAGGACGAGGGGCCCTGGACCTGCCTCCAACTGCTGCCTCCCCAGTCCCCGCGCCCCCGCCGTCTCGCACCCCCATTAAAGCGCTCTCAGCCGCCCGGGCCTCACGTTCACTCTCAACTCTCACTCGCCGTCGCCGAGACTTCCTCTGTCCCGCTCGACTTCCTCTCTGCCGCTCCGGGTAACTGGGCCACGCGGAGGGGGAGTGGGGAGGCGGGTTTGGTAACAAAGGGCCACTCTGCTCTCCACCGTGGGTCCCACACCCTGGGGTGGCAAGACTCCCCGCCCTTTCCACGTCCCAGGAAACCAAGCCTGGGCCACTTAACACCCCCAGCCCAGCGGAAACATCAAACAGCAGCTTTTCTTCATAGGTTTAATACCGAGGGCTCAACCAAACTCAGCCCAACAAACAGCTGGGCAATCTCTTGACACCCTCCCGATACTCGTTGAGGATTCTTTGCCTTAACTGGCACCCTGGGGGCACCAGAGCTGAGGCCGGCTGGCGCTGCTACACAGGTCGGCGCCAGGGGCTTAATAAGTGACATAAAATGTCTACACGCATAAGTAACCGTACTTAGGGCTTCTGCAAGGGCCACCAGAGCCCAGAGATGGCGGGCGGGCCCCCGCGTCACGGGCCACGCTGCAGGCGACTGCGCAGGTCCTCGGCACAGCCGTCCAGCCCCATGCGCTCCAGGGCCGCGTAGATGGCGCCCAAACCGGCGGGCTGCTGCTGGCGCCAGCGCTTGAGCATCTCGTACTGCTGGTCGCGGAAGCGGCCGACCTCCACCTCCACGGCCTCGATCTCCGCCTCGCGCAGCCCCAGCGTGCGCACGAACTCCTTCCAACGCCGCGCAGGCACCGCGTCCATGACGTCGTAGAGCTGCGGGCCCGGCTGGAGCATGGCGGCCCCGGAGGCTGCAGGGGGCTCTTGCGACGGCGTGGGCGGTGGCAGAGGGCCTGGGGGCGGGCCAGAGAGAGCCAATGGGGGATGCGGGCTTCAGCCAAGGGGCGGGGACCTGGGCGAGGGCCAGAGCGGATACCTTGGGCAGAGGCCAGCAGGGGAGCTCCACCAGGTCAGGGGACCGGAAATGGGCAAGTGGCGCCTCTAAAACCACAGCTTCTCACCTTGGACTGGGGAGAATGGGGTCAAGGCTTCCTGAGTTCCCTTACCAAGAGCTCTGCTGGGCAGCTGGTCCCAGGGCCATGTCACCTCTGGGCAGGGCGCCTTCTGGGTCTGAGGGGAGCCAGGTGTCCAGCTGTTGCCTACCAACTGGACGGCGCAGACCTCACTGCTGTTGGGTGGCACCAGAAGGGTGTGGGTGCCGTCTGGGGGTGTGAGGTGGGTGACCTGGAAGCCAAGAGAGGCCCCAGGTCAGCCTTGCTTGCCCAGTAAGGCCCCTTGGCTGGGCTCTCTGGCTGGGAGTGGCCATCCCTGGCTCAGTCAGCAAACATCCCCCAGTGTCCCCCAGCCAACCACGCTATCTCACTGTGGCCCAGCAGAAGAGCTATTCCTCTGCCTCAGATACTCTGCCCCTGCCGTCCTCCTCTTGTTCCCCTGGCCGTGGTGGCGCTCATCCCACTGAACTGTTACGCCCTGTTTACCTGTCTGGACCCCAGTAGACTGAGATGCCCTTGAGGGCTGGCACTGTGCTGCTGTCATTCACTGATACTCTGCTCTTTGCATATGTGTTCATTAGGTCTACTCAGCGCCAGCCACCATGCCATGTGCTAGGGACCACGAGTTATAATAAGGCCCAAACTTTCAGTTCCAGAATGCTGAGGCCCGGATGCTTGCTCACCCTCTTCCCAGAATATTACTGAAATTCTTACCTGTAGAGGGCTCAGGGCCTCCATCCCAGCTTCCTCTGATAACAGAGACAAACAGCATCTAATCAGCACCCAGGCAAGGCTCCTGGACCTGAGTGCTGGCCCAGCTCCTCTCGGGTTCCTCTGCAAGTCCCCCAGCACTTCCTCCCTCAGTTTCCCCCTCTGCATCAGGGCCGACTGGGCTCTGGGCTACCCATCCTGACCCCAGGCCCCTAGGGACGTGTGTGTATGCATGCACTTACCGGGAACCATGGGCTTGCAAGGCTGGCAGCGGCGGTATGTGTAGGTCAGAGTGGCCCCAAGCAGGAGTGGGACCACCAGGCCTGCCAGGAGCACCTGGACCCAGAACACTGAAAGAGTAGCTGGTGGGTGGTGGGTGGTCACTTCCCCCAACCTCCCCTTGGCTCATCCCATCTCTCCTACTCGCATTCCCAGCACACCACCTACTCTGTCTCCAGCCACAGACAGCCGCACAGGGCTCAGGACAGCTCCCAAGGGTGCTCCTGTAAGGGAAGGGGGTGGGCTGGGGGATGAGGGAGTACGTACCAGGAGAGGCTACCCAGGACTGCCTGACATCTTCTGCATTCTGGAGACCCTTCCCTCCCCAGGCCTCTCTCCTGGGAGCCTCACTCTACCCAAGAATGTTCCCGAAGTACTGCTGAAATGTCACTTGTGTCCCCAGTAACAATATCAACAATCACTATTTATCGAGCTGCTTCTAGACAAGATTGAGGGTCACTAGAACGTCAACTCCATAGAGACTGGGATTTGTCTATTTTGTTCCTGGTGTATCCCTAGCACCTCGAACAGCGTCTGGAAATAGCAGATGCTCGATAAACATCGTTGAGTGGATGAATAAATAAAGTGTCTTACTCCTTAATCAGAGCCCTGGGAAGGACCTACTAACATTCTCGTGTTTGGGTGGGGAAGATCAGAGAGGCGAAGTAACTTTCCCAAGATGCCCCAGAGAACAAGTGGCAGGTCCTGAATCTCAGTCCAAGTTTTTTTTGTTTTTTTTTTAAAGATTTTATTTTTTCCTTTTTTCTCCCCAAAGCCCCTGGTACATAGTTGTGTATTTTCAGTTGTGGGTCCTTCTAGTTGTGGCATGTGGGACGCTGCCTCAGTGTGGTTTGATCAGCAGTGCCATGTCCGCGCCCAGGATTCGAACCAACGAAACACTGGGCCGCCTGCAGCGGAGTGCGAGAACTTAACCAATCGGCCACGGGGCCAGCCCCCCCAAGTTTTTTTTTTTAAAGATTGGCACCTGAGCTAACAACCGTTGCCAACCTTTTTTTTTTCCTGCTTTTTCTCCCCAAATCCGCCGAGTACATAGCTGTATATTTTAGTTGTGGGTCCTTCTAGCTGTGGCATGTGGGACGCCACCTCAGCATGGCCTGATGAAAGGTGCCATGTCCCCACCCAGGATCCAAACTGGTGAAACCCCAGGCCACGGAAGCAGAGCGCACGAACTTAACCACTCCACCACGGGGCCGGCCCCTCAGTCCAAGTTTTGAAACTCTATCAACGTGGCTCTCTCCAAAGTGACCGACCCTATCCTTAATGGACAGCTGGAAGAATTACCGAAGTCGAGTCTAGCAGGAAGTGAAGCTATGCCCCCTTCTTTATCTGGCATAAGGTGAATCCAGATTTCCCTTTACCATCCAGTGTTTGTCTGAAGTGGGGTCCACCTGCCATTAGGCCAAGCTCCTTCCCCCTAGACCCTCACCCCGCTCCCAGCCTCCTTTTCCCCAGCCCAGGGCAGCCAGGAAGTTACGTGGGGCAGGACACGCAGCTGTTGCCATATTCATAGAAGCCAGGCAGGCAGGTCCCACAGCCGATGTCTCTGCCAGAACCTGCAGTCCAGGAGATAGCGTGGGTCAGGTCAGGAGAGAAGGAGGCAGGGGGAGCGGGAATGGGAGTAGGTAGCCTGGAATGCAGGTACTCACAGGGCACCCGCGCGTGGCGGTGCAGGGCCCCACAGTCTGGGCATGGAAGGCAGCGGAAGCGTGAGCCGTCAGGGCAGTGCCTGACCAAGCACTCCACGAACGAGCCTGGCTCGCAGCCACAGAGGGTGTCCGCCACTGCTGAGCAGTTCTTCAGGGCCACCTGGGAGGCTGGTGGGGGGGGGCGGGGTTCAGGAGGGTGGAGAGAGCAGAAGCCATCAGGGCCAGAGACCCCCACACAGAGGCAGGACAGATCCCCCAGAGTATGGAGATGAGAATAGACCAGAGACAGGGCCACCCCAAAAGGGAGAGAAGTTCAGAGATGACTGCAGACCAGAGGCTGAGGCATGTACAGAGATAGGAAAGTCAGCAGGGAGAGAGGGTCAGGGGGGAGGCCCCGGGGCAGGTGGGCACAGGGCCCTCACACCCAAAAGTTGAGCCCAAGCCAGCCACTTCCTTCAGAAAGACCCTGGCCACAGCCTGTCCTCAAGAGACCCCCAGTGAGCTCTAGGCAGCCCCTCACCCTGCTCATCACAGGCCTGGCAGCGGGTACAGCGGGTCTCATGGTGGTTCTCCCTAGCCAGGAAGGTGCCCTGGGGGCATGGAAGGCAGGTGGGGTCGCCACAAGGCTTTGTACAAGCGGCCTTCAGGTAGTGCCCTGTGGAACCCACACTGGGGTCAGATAGTCAGAGGGGGCTCCCACCTTTCCTCCCTCCCTTCCCATCTCTGGCTCCCTACTTCCCTCCTAGCCTCCCCTCACCCCATTCCTGGCCTGCCTGCCCCCACCTGCTCTCAGGCTGCCCTCACTTCCCACCACGCCCCTCCCACCCCTCCAGCCGCTCACCTGCTGGACAGCCCCTGCAACAGAACAGACCATTCCTCTTCTGTAAGTTGTGGGCACAGTCACACCTGGGGCTGGGAATGTTGCCCTGGCCCCGGGCACCCAGCAGCACGAGGAGGAGAGCCTGAGGGACAGGTGCTGCTGGCTCCCAGCGGGGCTGCCCCATGTGGGGGCCTCTCCCTGCCCAGGCTCCCCGACTTCAGAGGCCCCAGCACTTGCCCTCAGTGGAGCCCACTTCTCAGGTGCGGGTGAGACTAACTTCCTTCCCTCTCTGCCCGGATCAGCCTTCAGAGAAGCAGAGTAGAGGCCCCTACCAGCCCCTCTCACACATTTCCCCTCCACCAGGGCCCCAGGGCCCCAGGGCAGGAATCAGGGAGCCCCACCCCAACCCGTGCTTTTTCTAAGGTGAAGGACCCTGATCTTTTTCTGCCTGGGGTCCCCAGACCCCTCTGGCCCCTGGGAAGGTGTTTCCTCTCGGCGGAAGAGCCCTGCCTGGTTGAGCCTCTAATTAGGTCGGAAGGGAGGGCCGGCCCAGCCGTCAGCCAGGCTGGGAGCGCAGACTCGCCAGGGGGCCCCTTCCTTGGCCGCAGGCGCGCCTGCGGGGACCCAGGCCCACGCAAGGCTCAGACCGTACCCCACGCCCCGCGTCCCCACTCACCGCAGCCACCGCTGCTGTGCAGCCCCCCGGCCACGGTTCCATGGCCCTCAACGCCGCGCTGGGCCCTCCGACGGGCGTGCGCCGGCCGGGGCCTGGCCCGCTGCGCCCGCCCCGCCCCGCCCCGCACTGCCCGCTACGGTGTGCGCCCAGCCCAGCGCCCGCAGGGCCCGCCCCGCGCCGCCCAGGAGAGCCCGCCCCCGGGGTGGGGGCCAGGGCGTGGCCCCGCGGCTCCCTAGAAGGGGAGCTCCCCAGCCCCTGCGGCCTGCCCCCGCGCACCTGAGCTCAGCTGAGGCCGCCTGCGAGCAGCAAGATGCGCACAGGACAGGGCCGCATCGCGGTCCCCACACCTGGATTCTAGGCCCCAGCCTGAGACCACCGCTTCGAGGTGAAGGGACTTCCCCTCTCTGGGCATCAGAGCCTTCCCTCAGCCATGAGGGGTTGGGCGAGAAGTAACCAGGTGGGAGAGCCACCCTCCCCAGACACTAAGTGGGTGTGGGTACAGGGCCTCCCCCCTCCCCCGGAGTTGTCAGGTGCACTCAGTAGAGCCTAAGACAGGTGGCCTACCCTCGTGGACACTCCCACGGGCAGCCCAAGACGGCCCTCTGAGGCATCTGGCTGGGAGGGGGTAGCAGGTACCTCATTGGGGGAGGCGCCTGTGGGAGGCTCCGATGGCAGACATGGCGCTGGTGGCAGGGGGTGGGGGTTGATATTGGGGTGTTGGTCCGGTGACCTCTGCCCTGTTAATTCACTAATGCTTCCTACAGTCTCTTCCAGTGGTGCCCCAATGCAGACGGAGGGGGACAGGAGCACCGAGAGGCGCCCACCCCAGAGCTCAAGGGCACCTGAGTCAGGAAAGGGGGGGTTCCAAAAGCAAAGGACTCTTTCTAGTGGAGTATATACAAGTCTTTATAAAAGAATCAAAAGCTCAATAAATATGCAACAGAGCCCAACCCAAGCCTGGGGTGGCCAGCGGGGCTGGGAGGGAGTCGGTGAGGACAGGGTCATATCCCATTTGGGGCCAGATGAGGGCGGAGGTGGGAAGGACTGCCCTGGAGCCCAGCTGGAGGACTGGATCTGGTGACCTCAGGGACTAGTGGGCAGGGGCCCTGCTGGGGGTAGGGGCCAGGGGCAGGTTAGTGAAGGTGGTGGCCCTCGGGAGGCAGTCCTGAGGGGGTACTGCAGCCTGGGGCTCTGCTGAGCCCTCCTCCACTTCCATCCAGTCTGGCAAAGTGCAAATTGGGCCCCAGGGCGGTGGCAGGGGTCCTGGCCGGCACTGAGGCTCGGGCACACACAAGGCAGCAGCTGGACCAGGGGCTGGCATGTCCCAGGAGGCATGCTGTCTGTTGTCCCTTGGTGAGTGGCACCCTTGAGGACCCTCCTCTGCTCAGACTTCCCTGGAGGGGAGGGGAGAGACAGTCCTTCCTTGGCTGATGCCACTCAGAGGGGCTCTGGCCACCCTCTCCTCCCTATTTGAATCCTCAGGCCTTTGTACCACTGCCCGCCTTAGATATCCTCACTCAGGCTCTGGGGCAGGTCTCAGGCTCCCTCTCCCATCCCCATCCCCAAATGCCATCTGCTCCCAGCAATGACCGTGCCTCTATCCACTCCCAGGCTCAGAGGCTCAATGCCAGCACGCTGGGCCACCTTCCCTCTACCCCCGGCCAGTCCACTCACGAGGCAGTGAGCGTGGAGTTAAGCAGCAGTGTGGTCCTGATTCGGTAAAGCTGGGCCAGCGTCAGCTTCCTGTGCTGGGCAGAGATCCCTGGCGGGGGCTCAGGCTGAACCCTGGGCGAGGCCCCCGAGGGCAGCTCTCTGCTCCTCCTGGAGGCTTCTTCGGGCTCTCTAGCTGAGCAGCTGATTTTGCACGCCAGCTCTGACAGCTTGGGGCCACTGCCAGGGCTTGGTGCCCCGTGGCAATCCCAGCTGGGCCCAGCTTCCTGAGGGGAGCCCTGGGTTCTAGTGTCAGGAATTGTAGCAGCCAAGCAGAGTTCCGACAGGCTGCGGCTGGGGGCTTGGGGCGCTCCAGGGGTGGTGGCCCCTGACAACAGCTGGAGGAGGCTGGCCTCAGATTTGGACTTGAGCAGGTGGGGCAGCCGGGGCAACAGCTGGACAGGGTTTCGGCGGCAGAGGCGGGGCGAGGGTGGAGGTGAAGGGGCTTGTGGTAATTCTGGGGGCCGGGGTGCTGGCTCTGCCATAGGGGCTGGGGCCACAAAGTCGTGCAGGGACGTCGGGGAGAGGGTGCCGTAGGCGGAGTCCATGGAGCAGGAACGGCCATCCACTGGGCCCAGGGGCAGCAGTTCACTGGTGGGCGTGACAGAAGAAGCGGTGGTGCTGAGAGAGGTCTCATCCGACTGGGAGCTGAAGGGGCCGCCCTCGAACTCAGGAGAGGACAGCGTCTCCCCAGGCTCCACCACGACCATGGCTAGGGTCTCCGTGGAGCCGTCCGAGGCACTGTGGGGCCGGGAAGACAAAGTCAGCCCAGCCAAAGGAAACCGAGATGGCCTGGTACAGCCCCGTGCTGGGCAATGCAGAGTCTACACCCTCTGCCCTCCCGGAGGTCGAAGCTCAGAAATGGCATGCATGTGGCACATGTGCCAGATCTCCCAGCTCCTATGCCCACAACACAATCAGTAACAGTGTCTGTCACCATTACAGCACTCCTTCCTGCTGGACACAATCTAAGAACCCTCAGCTCAGCTCCAGGGAGCTACCACTAATGGGTCAGAGTGGCCTCAAGTTGAAAACTGTGCCATCCCCCCCTGGACTTGGTGGGAGACAGAGCCCTCCCCCAACCCACTGGGCTCACAACACGAAGCCATGCAGAGGAAGGGGTCATGGTGAGGCCCTGCCCAGTGTCAGCGGCCTTGGGGTCGGGAGTCCTGGGCTGGAGAACTTGCCCTGCTCTGGCCTGCTGGGTAGTCCTGGGCAAGCATACCAGTGCTGGGAGTCAAGGCTGTGGCTGCTTTTGCGCAGGATGGTGGGGGAGCTGGCAGCAGAAGTGCTACTCTCCCCCGCTTCCTCCTCCTCTTCCTCCTCTTCCTCCTCCTCCTGCTCATCCTCCTCTTCTTCCAGGCTCTGCAGGTGCTGCTGGCTGCCTGGGTGCTCCTGTGCACGCAGCTGCTGCAGCTGGTTCTATAGGTGGGGTGGGGGCACACAGGGGCAGAAGGGACTGTGGGCAGCAGCCCCCACCAGGATACCCTGCCCGCCTGCAGACCACGCTGCTCTCACCTGGGCATTGTAAATGGCATCCACCCAGCCACGGCACAAAGCCTGGCCGCTGGCCTGGAATGTGTAGGCCCCTACAGCGCTATGGAACTCATTCAGGTAGATGAGAAGGAAGGAGCCTGGTTAGGAAGGGCTTGCATCAGCTGAGAACACAGCCTCTGCCCATCACAGCCCTTGCCCAGGAGCAGGGGGCTGGGCTCCTCACCAGGGTCCCGAAGCTCCCGGCACACAATCTTGTCCACCAGCAGCGGTGGCCTGATGACCTTGGTCCTCTCAGCCTTCTTCACTGCCTTGGTCACCAAGAGCAGGTCCGTGAAAAGGAAACAGTAGACATCCATCTGGGGTGACAGGGGGAGCAGGAGAGGCCCAGGGCTCAGGGCCAGGGTCCTCAGACCTCAGACAGAGACCCGCAGCCTGTCTCTGCAACATCCTCTCCTGGGGGTACTCAGATTTCATCAAACACTTCCCCTGCCCCCTCCCTGAACCTGAGAGCAAAATTAAAATGAAAAGCAAGATGATCTTCTCTTTCTCTCTTTGAACTATATATTTGTGATTTAGTTCAACTAAAAGTTTATCTTAAAGAGAAAATGGGAGGTGATTGTAAATTACGATCTGCAGGCTCTCAGCTCCCCAGCACCCACATGATTGACAGCTCAGTAGCAAGGCTCTGGGGCATTCCTGGCCTGCTCAGGGAATGTGCCCCTCCCCTCCAACCAGGAACCCCTGTGACACTGACAAGTGAGCAAGACCACACCCCCTGGACTGTGACCCTGCTGCTGTGTTTGTAAAGAGTAAACTGCAGGCAGATAATCGTTCCCCATATGACACAAAGTCGCTAGTTCTTGAACGGCCACACAACCGATTGAGCAGCTGAGAACCACTGAGTACGGTCCAGAAGGTCTCCAGGAAGGGATGGTCCCGACCACAGGGCAGGGGAGGGCAGGGGCCCTGGGTGTGGGGTGGCCACAAGAGTCACCTTACTGTCCTTCCCCTCCTTCATCCTTAGGCTCCCCTCCAGCAGCAGCTGTCGAGTCTCCTCCGGAGAGGCGCCAGGGATGGGCGCTGTGAGGTCCAGATGCAGAAATTCTCTCAGGAGCTGTGGGTGGAGAGCCAGTGCAGGAGAGGTCAGGGTCTGACTCGCCATCTCAGCTAGCAGACCTCAAGCAAGGTTCCCAGCACAGCTCCGTCTGCCAGTGTGGCCCTTCCTCGCACCCAACAGGATCCCGCCCCCGACATACACAGACACAGGGGCCCACCTTGTCCACCTCGTCGCTGCTGCCCTCCACCACCTCGTAGGCGTCAATGCGGCTCACCACGGCTGCCAGCCGCTGCCGCTCTTGTCGCTGCCGCATGCAGGCGTTCACGTGGTGGATGAAACGCTCCACCGAGCTAATCTGGGGAAGGGCGGTGGGGGTTTAGGCTCAGTGTCCTCAAGGGACCTAGCCTATCACCCCGCCAGCGCTAGCGTCCCCGTTACCATGGTGATGACGGCTTCCTTGGCGCGAGGCTCATCTGTCTTCCTCAGCACCGATTTGAGCAGCAGCGGGTACTTGGTGAGCCGCTGGTGGGGTTTGGCCAGCATGTCGCTCAGCTTCAGCCGCTGGCACTGCTGGTGTTTCTCGGCCCACTGCGGTGGGGAGCCGGGGGCGGAGCTCAGGGCAGGCCCCGCCCCCGGACCCTAGGCCCCGCCCACCGGCAGACCCCTGCCACCTGCAGGCCAGGTGAACCCCGGGTCCTGCGCTCCCGCCGACCAGCCTTCCCGGCCCGCCCTCACCGTGACGTAGGCCCGGAAGAGGTCGCTGTCGCGCAGCAGGCCGCGCATGTACTCCATGCAGCCCTCCTCCTCCATGCAGTATCGGATGTAGGGCTTGAAGAGGGAGCCGAACTGGCCAGGGGCAGAAGGAGCAAAGCACCGGTTACGCGCGCTCCCCAAGCCCTTCCTTACTGCACTTTCGCGACCACCCCAGGGGCTGGCAAGCTTATTATCCCTGTTTTCCACAGGAGAAAACTGAGCCTCAGCGAAAGAGACCATCCTCGGCCACGTAGCAAGGGTAGATGGCCAGGTGGGGTTAAAATCCGGGCAACCGACTAGGAGTTCCTTGCCTGTGCCCACCAGGGGTCGTGCGGGGCCAGAGGTCAGGGGAAGGGTGGGGTGAGGGGCAGATGGGATCGGCGCCCCAGCCCTGCCTCAGTGTCCCCGCCTGTGTCCAGCCCAGCCCGTACCATCTTGAAGCCTTTGAGGAAGTCCCCGGGCTGCAGCAGTGCCCGCGTGCGCCGCGCCTTCTCCAGCACCGGGGCCATCACGCTGGCCCACAGCCCGCGGTGCAGCCGCGCGATCTCCGGGATGTTGCTGAACAGGCGCTCCGCCTCCACCTGCGCGGCGGGAGGTGCGCTCGGCCTCGCCCCTCACCTACTCCATCCGTGAGCCCCGCCCCCTGCCAACCCCGCCCCCAGGCTAGGCCCCGCCTCCTCCTCCTACCCGCCCAAGCCCCCCAGGCCCCGCCGCACCTCACACAGCAGCCCCGACTCTTGCAGGTTCAGGAGACAGCACAGGAACAGCTGTGGGGTCAGGGAGCACTGCAGCTGGGGGTGGGGGGGCCCATTCCCGACGCCCTAGCCAGCCTCTTAAGATTCCCTTCTACCCCTTCCCCCTCCCAGGAGGCCCTGAGGCAGCCTGGGACAGAGAGGGTTTACCCTTTGAGAAAAGGCCCAGCCCCATGGCCCACCCAAGGGTCGCCCTGCCCAGGCCCCATCTAGAAGGAAGCGCTGGGGGACCAGCCTAGCAGCCATGCCTGGAACTCTCCTCCACCTCTGCCCTGGCTCAGCCTCTGAGTTTCAGCTCAGAGGCTGCCTTCCCTGAACCCCCAAGACTAGGATGGGTGCTTCCCCCAGGTCCAAGTCCCTACACACACACACACCCCAGTGCCTACCCACTCCGTCTCCACCTCTAGGGTGTGGGCTGCTGGGCACCTAGCACACGGCAGGTGTTCAGAGTGGCCGTTGGATGAATGAGTGAGAGGATGAGGCCTGTGTTAATTCAGCTCAACTGGCAAGTGTGCCCCAAGCCCCCTCCCAGGTGAAGCCCCCTCCCACGTGCTAGCCTGTGGGATTTGCCTCCTCCCCAAGGGGTGGCCCTTCCCTCACTCTCCTTCCCCTCTCTGTTGCCTGGCACCTGCTCCTTCTGCAAAGGCTGAGACTCCACTTAGGGGCGCCCAGAAGGCACCCACGAGGGAGAGGCAGGCAGGGGGCTCTGGGCAGGGTGTGGCCCCACACTCACGTTGGTGATCACCCGCAGCTTCTTGATGTAGGAGGCCTCCGTGTGCAGGAGCTCCCACACTGCTTCCTGCTGGTGACACTGCCGCCGGGTCAGCTTCTGTGGGAAGGGCAGGGGGTCATCCAGGAGCCCCAGAGGGTGCCGGGATAGACCAGGTGGGGAAGAAGGGTGAGCTACCCTGCATGCAACCTCCTTTTTTCTCAATGGGGACACAGGTCCCCCAAGTTCTGGGCTCTCTTCTGCCATGAAAACAGCCAAGTGGCACACCGCAGTTTGACTTTGCCTCAGTTTCCCCAAAGTGGGTTAATGATGACAGCAGCCTTGGCAGAGCTGTCCTGTGGAACATCCTGTCATTGGGTCCACAGAAGGGCCCCAGGAAGTGGGGGATAAGGCCCCCTTTTCCCAGATGAGGAGGGTGCGGCAGGGCTGGGGGGGCACCCACCTCATGACCGTCAATGAGCTCCCGCCAGCTGTCCTCCAGCTGCAGGCAGGCATCGTCCTCCTCCTCCTCATCCCCCTCCTCCTCCCATGAGTCATGGTCGAAGCGCAGCCTCCGGGGCAGCCTGGGCAGCCCAAAGAGCCCGTAGGCATGCAGCTTGCTCTCCAGCTGCTCCATTTTGTCCACCTCCTGGAAGGAGACCCGCGATCAGGGTCAGGGGTCAGGGCCAGCCAGCTGCCCTGCCCCAGGGCCCACGGGACCACATACCCGGCCAAAGGCACTGGTGCTGGGGCCAGAACTGAAGAAGCCGCTGAAGCGACTGGCTGCCCGGTTCTTCCAGCTGTCGCTGCCCCCACTGCCGCCACTGCTACTGCCAGGCAGAGAGCAGCTGGCAGGCGTGGAGGGCTCCTGTCCCGGGATGCTGGCCTCCCCCAGGAACTCCAACATGTTCTTGCGTCGGCGGCCAGGGGCCTGGCCGGGGAGGGGTGGTCAAGGCCAGGCCCATCCTGGCCCCCAGAGCCCTACCCCAAGGTGGGTTTCCTGGACCCTGGCCAGCCTGGGATGTGGAAGGGTTTCTGCACCCCCCACCATGGGACATCCCCTCTCCTGAGACCCACACACATTCTCGGGGCTGGAAGGTCCAGACACAGATGCACCTGGACTGCCCCCCAGCCACAGGCATGAAGCAGCTGGGGAAAAGCAGAGTCACACATACTCAGATGCACTTACAAGCACAGCTCCAAATGGATCCACAACATACACCCATGCACACGGCCAGTGACACGAGACACACTCATGTACTGACTCCTTGGGCACTAGAAGATTCTCAGTGACAAGACCCATCACCTTGGGGTATGGTTGGATCCAGAGGGAGCCCCCCCATTCACAGAGCCAGCCCCATTTTCCAGAAGGGGAGATCAAAGCCCAAGAGGGAGCAGGGAAGGCTCCAGGGGACTCCCCACTGAGGACCCTGCCCACCCCCAGGCCTGACACAGCCCCTCCTCACCAGGATGTCCAGGCTCTCTCGGCGGCTCTGGGGGTCCACACGCTCCAGGGCAGGGGCCCCGGCCCCAGCCGGCCGCAGGATTGGCAGACTCAGGGACTTGGAGTCCTTCACGCCCTGCTCCACCTTCCCCTCGTCCCCTGGCTTGGCTGAGGTGACATTAGGGGACAAGCAGAGGTCCTCAACACCCAGGTCTAATGGAGGAGGGAGCCCCAGTCCTCTCTCCCAGGATCCAAACCAAGGCCTAGCTGCCCCTCCCTGAAGCCCCGCCCTGCCAGCACCTGCCACCACAGCCCAGCAGAGACACCTGTATGCTAATGATCCTGCTCAGGGCCATGGCCAATGGGAACCTGAGCCTGGGAGGAAGAGCCCATCTCTGGGAGGCCCAGCCAGACCCCAGCCACCCTGCCTGCCCGCCCAGCTGGCTGCTCACCTTTGACCCGCAGGTAGTGTCCCCCGAACCTGTAGGCCTCAAAGGTGAGGGACAGTGGTGTGTTGGACTGGTCCAGGTAAATATCCACTTTGCCCAATGCAATGCCCTTCCTTTCAAAGACGGGCAGCAGCACTTCCCTGCCCCAGAATGGAGGTGTGTATGTTAGGGGGCAGTCAAACGAACCCCTACTCGATCCATAGCCCCAGCTCCAACTCGCCTTCCCAATACCCATGGGATCACACACAGGTACACAGACACACAGGTGCGTGCACACACACACACACCTGCCCACAGAGGTTCACACACTCCTGCACACATCCACACACAGGTCAACACGTTCATACCCTCACACATGCACATCTGTACACCAGGGACTGGGCCACGCACACTTGGGTTGGAATACACAAACAAGTGCACAGGCCCTCATCACACGTTCCCTCACACTGGTGTGCATGCCACATGGGTGGGCCGCTAACAGGTGGGGGACGTGCTCACTCACAGGCCACCACACAGATGTACACAGTCATACCTGAAGGAGGCTGCACCTGCCCCCAGCCCCAATTCCACCCTCAGCACCACCAAGCTCTACCCCAGTGACTTCTTCTTCATGGCTGGTACAATCTCCGTCTCGATGTCCACGTTCAGGTCAAATTTCAGAGTGAAGCACTCCTTGCTCGGGTCCTGAGAGGACATGGGCCTCTTAGCTTCTGCACCCCTTGTCCCCCACCCTCCCCAACCCAGAGTCTAGGATGGGAACCCTGACAGGGGAGTGAGTGCAGGGATTTCCCCAGACTGCCTCTGTCCCAGGGAGGCCCCCAGCATCCTTCCTGCCTAAGGGAGGTGCTCCTGGAGCATCCCACACCTGGGCTAAGGTGGGCAGTGCTGGGCTGCAGGGGAGGGTGGCGAGGGAGGGACACACTCACTCCAGGCCCCATCCCTGGTCCTGGGGTTCAGAGCAGAAGGGCCTAGCCTTGGGGCTGGGAAGGAAAGGGGCAGGGGCTGTCAGGAGGCCCTCTGCAGCCTGGGGGCTCCTTACATCTGTGTGTCTCCTCCTGGCTTTCTTCTTGGAGAGTTTCAGGCCTGTGCTCTTCCGGTCCCTGCAGGGAAGCCAGCGAGGGCAGAGGATGGAGGCACGGGGAGGCCCTCACCAGGGTGGGATGCAAGTGGGCCACAGCTGGCTGCCCACCCCACACTGCCCAGACAACCAGGTAACTCGGGTGCGCTCAGGCAGCCCAAGGCCCACAAGGGGCTGTGCGCCCTCTGGTGGCCTATACAGGAGTCACACCCAGTGCTACCTAGTCAGGTGGAGTCTGATCCCAGATGCCCTGGAGGCTGGCCCAAGCTAGGTGGCTCCTCCAGGAATCAGAGCAGCCCCAGGGGTCAGGAGGGGTCTCCAGTCAGCCCTTCTGAAACCTCTGGTCCCTGGATCTCTGATCTGAGACCCAGTTTTGGGACCCCTCAGTTGTCTGCTTTGCCCACCTACCCCTCACCTACCCTTTGCCATCCAGAGAGCTTTCTTCCTCCTCCTCCAAGTCCACTGCAGGGCTGGTGCGTGGCGGGCATGACCGGGTGGACACATTCCGGGCCAGGACAGAGCCTTTGGGGCAAAGTGGGAGGGGGCTGTGCCTGCTTTCCCTGTCCCCCTCCTGAGCCTTCCAACACAGCCGTCTCCAGGGGGACCACAGCCTGCCACTGATCCTGGGACCCCTCTCCCCCAAACTAGCTAGGGCCCTCAGGTTCTGTGAGGAGAGGGGCTCAGTCATTGCTTATCACCTATCTACCCCCAGATCAAAAAGACACAAGGCCCATGGGATGACACCTCAGGTGATGCCCCACCCCCAAAACAAACCCGCCTGTGGCCTCAGTTTACCCTTCTATAAAAGAGGATAAAGCAGTTCTGCCTCTGGGATTGTTGCAGGAAGGGACCAAAGTCCACGGCTCTTTCTCTCAGGCCTCCCCTCCCCCACCACTGTGACCACACCCAAAGTCCCAGGGGGCCCTGGCAGCAGGGGGAGTCCTTTTGTCCCTCTGACCAGCTGGGAAAGGAGACACAGGGTTGGCATTTCTGGCCAGGCCCAGGTGCCTGGAAGCCACCCCAGCACAGCCAGTTGGCAGTGGGCCTGGGCCAGGTCCCTACTCAGCAGGAGGGGTTTCTTGTTTCCGTTCACAAGTTCCTTCTGATCTGCCCATCCCCGCCCCCACCCCCACTGCCTTGCTCGCCAGTGGTAGCCTGGCTGGAGGACTTGCTCAGAAGTCCCCTGCCCTGAGGACAAGAAGAAAGGGGGCTTTCTCCATGCTGGCCCCGGGTCAGGGGCAGGGGCAGCTACGGGAGGTGCAGACCCAGCGAGAAAGACCTGGCACCTGGTAGAGACAGGCCTGCTCTCCAGATGAGGTACAGTCCCCCAGCGTTTTCTCTTGTTAAAAAACTTGCGGACTGCAGCATACTTGGGGTTCATCATTCACAGTCAACTCCTGTCCTTCTGATGGCCCTGTCACGGCTCCGACAGTTACCAACACACTGTGCCACCAGACAAGGAGTCAGGAGCTGCCCTGGGAGCTCTAGGGGCCAAGCTGAGCCCCCTCATGGTGCTAACCTTGAGGGGGCAGGTCGAAGCGGACATGCCCATCATAATGCATGGCGCTGTGGAACTTGCTGTCACAGGCCTCGCAGAGGTTGAGGGGTCCCCGGCGGTGCAGCTGCTGGCAGTCGGCGTGGTGGCATACCTGCTCGGGGAAGGAGGGAGATGCGGGTTGGGCTGGGCTCTACAGGGCCACAGGCAGGCACACCTGTGGCCCAGACCACGCAGTGCACAGGTGGGGCTCCTGGCCCCTCCAGGGGCTGCTCTTCGTTTCCAACCCTCATCCCCACAGGGTGCCTTAGGCTTATTAATTCACCGGGTGAACGTTTCCCAAGCACCTACTAAGTGTCCACTCCAAGGGATGCAGAGACAAGCTAAGCCCTGCCTGCTGAGGGGGAGACTCTGACCTGGGCATCTTCCCGGGATGCAGGCAGGAAGGGCACCAAAAAATGCTCAGGGTTGCCGTTCGATTTGGCCAGCTCAGAGTGTGAACTGGAATGCCGTACCCTACTCCCCACCCAGGGCCTCTGCCCTCAGTTCTGTGACCTGTCCGGCCCCTGAATTGCTGACCCCACCAAGATTCCTAAGTCAGGCACAATGGGGGTTATGGAGGAGCTAGGGAAAGGTGTTGGCATCTGGGTGCCCATGCAGTGGCCCTGGACCGTTGCTTGGTGACATGATCCCAGATTTACCAAATCTCACCCTGGTCTACTCTCTCCCTGCCTGCCATGGACGACTTTCAGATCTCCTCCTCCAACCTCCCACCTCCGAAAGCTCACCCCCAACTCACTCCCTGCTGACTCGGCATCCTACTTTTCTAGGGAAACAGAAGCCATCAGAAGGTGCTCCGTGAGCTCCCACCACCGCGTCCCCCCCACCTGCCCTGGGCTGTGGGGGCTTCACCCCGCGCCAATCCAAGGCCAGCCTTCCACCAAGATCCACCCCTCTGGCCGAGGTGTGGGGATGCGGCTCAGCATTCGCTCCCTCCGACATCATCAGGTTTGCCCTCTCCACGGGATGCCACCCAGCAGCGCGCCAACATGTGACTTCTCTGTCTCCAGCTCCGTTTCTCCTCTCCCTTTGTAGCTCACCTCCATAAACAGGTATCCGCACTCACTGCTTCCCAGTCTCTCCTCTCGTTACTCTTTATGTTATTTTTCCCAACACTTTGTTTTAAAATATTTCAAACCTACAGCAAGTTATAAGAATAGTACAATGACATCCATACACCCTTCTAGCATCCCCAATTGTTAACAGTGCCACACCAGCTTTCTCTCTTATCCCCTCCTCATTACCCTGGCCCCTGCTGCAGAAATCATGACATCGCCTAAGAGCACAGACCTTCTCCTACAAAACCCCAATACAGCTGTTGCTCTCGGGAAACTGAGCGTTGCTATACGGTCCGTCTATAGTCCACATTCACATCTTCCCAACTGTCTAAATAATGTCCTTTACAGACTTTTTTTCTCATACAGGATCCAATCAAAGTTGTATCTGTTTATCCCTCTTAAGAATAAATTCTCCATGTTTTTTTTTCATTGTTCATGAAAGTGACACTTTTGAAGGGTCCAAGCCAGTGGTCTGACAGAAAGCCCCTCGACGTGGATTTGCGTGGAGGTCCCTGCGGAGTTTCAGGCTGAGCATTTGGGCAGGAGCAGGAGAGAGCGGACGGTGTCCTCCTCAGTGCGCCCAGATGCTGGAGCATTTGCGGATCTCGATGGACTGCGTAAAGCCCCTTTTTCTCCTTGTAAGCTGTGGGCCAACAGTTGGAGATCTCCTGCTCCCCAGCAATCTCCCACTCCAGGGCTTTGCATTCGTTGATGACTTCTGCCCAAATCAATTATTACTACAATGGTTGCAGTTGGAGACTTTTCAGTTCTTCCATTCTCTCCCAGACCCTGTCCCATCAAGTTTTTGCCCCCTCCCCATCACACCAAACTTACTCCTCTCGGGACCTCACTGACCTCCACGTTTCTAAGTACACTTGTCTGTTCTCACAGGACCCAGCATTTGACACATTGTATCTCTTTGAAAATGTTTCTTCTCGGTCCCCAGGACCCACGCTCGGCTCGTTCTCTCTCCTCCCGGTCCCCTCACTGGCTTCCTGCTCATCTCCCCGTCTGTGGACCCTTCTCATTTTGATCTATATCCACTCTCTCCTGACTCAGCCCGTCTTGTGACTTGAAACACCATGCACATACTGAGGGCTGACACAGTTAAACCTCGGGTCGGGACCTCGCCCAGGACTCCAGACCCACCTTCTTGATTCTCCGCTTGGATTCTAACAAGCATCTCAAACTTAAAACATCCGCACGTAAGGCCCTGAACTTCTCCAGGCAGCTCCCTGCATCTCAGTTAATCGCAATGCCTTCCAGTTGCGTGGTGTGACCGGTTGAATTGGGTCCCTCAAAAAAACAGGTTAAGTCCTAACCCAGTACCTGAGAATGTGACCTTATTTGGAAATAAGGTCACTGCAGATGTCATTAGTTAAGACGAGATCACACTGGAGTCTGTAATCATAGCGTATGGAGTAATCATATGACTGGCGTCCTTATCAGAAGAGAGGAGACATGGAGACACGGACGCACAGGGAGAAGGCCATGTGACAACGGAGGCAGCGACTGGAGTGATGCACCTATAAGCCAAGGAATGCCGGGAAGCACCTGGGGCCCCCGAAGCTGGAAGAGGCAGGAAGGCTCCCCCCTAGAGCCTTCAGAATGAGCACAGCCCTGCCGACACCTGGATTTCAGGCTCCTGGCCTCCAGAACTGGGAGAGAATAAACATCCATTGTTCCAAAGCCGCCCAGGTGGTGTGATGGCAGCCCCAGGAAACTAATGCATTAGGCCAAAAACCTTGGGGTCACCTTTGCTCCTTCTGTGACACCCCCATCCAGTCAGTCTGAAAATTCTGTTTTCTCCAACTTTCATATCTGACGCTTCAACCCGGCCATGCTCTCAGCCCAGCTCTGCCCCTGCCCCAGCCCCTACCACCTCTCAGGTGAAGACAACGACGGCCTCGTAACTGTCTCCCTGCTTCCACCCTGCACCCCAGTCTGCTCTCCACGAGCAGCCAGAGCGGACCCCGTTCAATGAGGAGTCACAAACACCTACGCAAAACCCCGCCAGGGCTGCCCGTCTCACTCCCAGCGTGGGGAGCCCGTGAGGGGGCGACCCTCCTGTCCTGCTCTTCCACCCTGCTCTCTCTGCTCCAGCAACCAGCCTCCTGGCTTCTCCAACATGGTTCCTAAGGGCGCTCCCACCTCTGAGCCTTGGCATCTGCTAGTCCCTTGGCCTGAAATGCTTTTCCCCAGATACTGAAATGACTGGCTCCCTCCTCTTCTTTCCTGACAATCTTTACTCAAAAGTCACCCTCTCTCCCTTGCAAGGTTGCAGCCCCTCCAAGCTCCCTATCCCCGCCCTACTCCCTTCCCTCCTTAGCACTTGCCACCAGCCAACAGTTTGTGGACTTTACCTCAATGCCTCCACACCTTGTCAGCCCTGCGAGGACAGCGATTTCAGTCTGTGCTATTCACTGCCCTATCTCCAGGCCTAGACACTCAGTAAATACTTGTTGAACTTATGCATCAGGGTGACGGAGGGTCCCTGAAGGCTTTTGGCTTAGGAGAGCCCAATCAGAGATTTTCAAGATGTCAGACAGGATGAGGAAGGCCTGGACAGCAGAGAAAGTGGCTGAAGGGAGGCGGGAGGACGAAGCTGAAAAGGTCTCATCTCCATTTATAATGTGGGCGCCGTGTGCCTGGGACTGCACTGAGGGCTCTGCTTATCCCAGGAGGTAGGAGCTATGACTGTCCCTATTTTACAGAAGAGGAAGTGAGGCTCAGAGAGGTTAAGTAACTTGTCTAAGGTCACACGGCCAGTGGAAACAGGACTTAAACCCAGTGTGTGTAGCTCCAGATGCCAGATGTTCACCACATTCACACCCTCTCTTGGGTAGCTGAGAAGGGAGAGTGCAGCAGGGGAGGCTGACCTCGGGTCAGCCTGGGGGGCTATGGAGACAAGAGGAAATCAATCATAGTTTGATGTGTGCTGTTTGGGTTTCTGTGTTCCACCTAGTCCTCCACCAGACAAAAAAGGGAACATGGGCACAGAAACAGCAGCATGGTGGGGGAAGGCACAGACTGAGGAGGCCACTTGCCCCAAGGGGCTGATTTCTAGGGGCTGGGCCCCAGGCGGGCAGCTGTGGACATTATGCCCCAGATTCCCGATGGCAGCCAGAGCACTGGGCAGCCTCCTCAGGTGGTCTTCAACTGTGTTCTTGGGTCTTAAGGCAGGAGTGAGGGCGCCCTTCAACCAGAGCAGGTGTTTCTATCTTTACTTAATCTACTATTAAAGCGTGAAGACCCCTATCCTCAGCCACGCTCTGCCCACCCCCACTCCAGCGTCCCTAGGGCACTGCTGACAAAAGGGCCTGGCTTTGCGGGCTCTGGGACCCCTGGCGGCGAGCATCTCTTCCTGACAATGAATCTGGAGAAAGTACCTGCCCCACTTCAGCCCCTTCTTCCCAGAACCCCATGGTCGCCACTCAGTGGCCCTCTTGCCCTCTTGCCCTCTGCATCCAGCCTGGCAGCCAGCCTGACACAGGTGCTGCCCTGGGAGGGTGGGCATGGTGGGCAGCAGGAAGGCAGGAGTGGGCGCCTGGGTCTGAGAGAAGGGGCCCAAGAGTCTGGCTTTGGGAAGGGGCTGCCCTACTTAAGTGCTGGGGAGACCACCGGCCCTGGAGGGAGCTGTGGAGACCCTGTGGTTTGGGGATGGCCGACCTCTTCCAGGCCTCTAGAGATTTCCCTGACGGCTCCATTTGCTGGTCTAGGCTCGGCGCTGGGCAGTGGGGCTGCAGTGGCCCAGGCCCTGGCCTAATAGTGGGTGGGGGTGACATGGCAGAAAACAGGCTAGATGTAGGGGTTCTATGGATGGTCTCTGGGACCCTTCCAGTCCAAGTCCTTGATTCTGTGCCACATTTTGTTTTTAAACCAATCCAATACACAGATGGCAGATTTTACACAAAGATTTGCTCCTGTGGCAGATTCAATAAATATTTATTGAGCCCCACTATGTGCCAGTGCTGGGAGGCACAGGGCCCCCTAGAGACTCGGGAGATCATTCCCCAGCACTGTGGTGGGCTTCGGG